CAACAACTCCTGTGACTCAGTTGACCTGAGACCATAATCCCAATTGAATKAATATCTGCAATGCATAACACTCCTCTGCAGAAACAGGGGGGCAAAAGACTTCTAAGTTGGTGAGATCCCCACTGGGAAGTGGGTCCACTTCTCTTGGGAACATCTTTGGAGGAGAAGACTAAGAGTATGCGTAAAGCAGTGGAGATTTTGTAGCCAACTGTAGCTGCTTAGTTTATTTTTCTAGTGCTTGAAACCTTTGACTCCTACTGGGGTTTTCAGGGTTTGTTTCTTTAAGCCTTAATCAGTTAACATATTTTAGCTAAGACTTCTTAAAGCCCCATTTGTCAGGGCAAGTCCACAGTGTGGTGTGAAGTGCAGCAGAAGAGCAGATGTCCTTCATTCTAATGCAAACAAAGGGCACATGAAATAAAATACTGAGCATCACTTTTGTCAGAACACAGAAGTGTGTGGTGGCAATGGAGTAGAGCAAGGAGCTGGAGCGGTGTAAGCTAAATTGCTTGCTTTGGGCTGCTTAATGAAAGCCTGCAGCAGTGGGTGGCCAGCTCTGGGCAGATGTGTGAGCCTGGAAACAAGCGCTGCTCGCCGGGCAGATTAAAGCTGCTCTCGTTGACTGCTGAGAGTGTTGGCAGTGCAAGACTCCTGCCTGCTGCCTCATGTGGTTCCTCCTTGTCAGGCACAGGGCAAGTTGCAGGTTTTTCTTGCTCGTGTGAGACAGTGGTCAGTTCGTGCTAAATGCTGACAGGAGGGTAGGAGAGTGAGGAACCTCTTTGGCCTTGTGGACTTGGGATGGGTGAGCATGCTCACGTAGAGCAGCAGAGCACTGGGCAGCATCTTCCATGCTTGGACCATGCTGCTATCTGCTCTTGGTGTTGTGCTGGGGAGAGGTCATCCACTGAGCACAGTGTGGCAGCTCCCTGTGCTGCTCTGCTTCTCCTCAGGCTGGTGCCCTGAGCCTGCCCCAGGTTATTGCTTCTCTCAGACAACTTACCATAACTGCACATGTCATCTCTTCACATAAAGCAGCTAGAAAAGGCCAGTGTCGCAGATCTCCCCTGGTAACTGCTGGTGGTGCTTGGTCCTGCTTGAAGCAGGGTAAGCTGTAGGACATTGGCCCTAGTGACAGCATTCCTACTGTTCCTGAAAGCTTCAGCCTTTCCTTTCTTACCATGTACATGCCTTGCATCCCCAAACTGGGCTCGGCTGGCTAAGCASCATCTCTGTAGGTCAGTAGAGCGTGGAAACAATCTCAGCTTTTGTGGTGCGGGCAGAGCCCATCTCCCAGCCTTGTTTTACACATGCATATTTCAGGAGGCTTCCAGATGAAGCAGTCAATGTGCTCTTTGTCACCGTGCTCTCGGGGAAGGTGGCGAGGCTGAGGCTTGGTGAAAAGATACTATGGCATTCTCTGTGTCGCGCAGTAATTAGTAATTTGGTATTAAAATCCCCCATCAGTGTTGACCAAGCAAGGTTTTCTTTGTTAGATATGTTAATGTTTTCTAGGGATGTATCCAATATCCACTAGATTTTGGATGAGATGGCATGTGTATGATATGGTGTGTGTGCGTGCCTGTCTGCAACTAGTGAAAATGAGCTAGAGGAAATAAAATGACATATTTCTTAAGATGTCTTGTGTGTAAGGATTCAGGAAAATATGTATGTATTAAAGTATCTTGATAAACACAGATTTCTCAAATGTTTCCTTTGATACTGCTTAGGTTATCAAGAGTGTGTTAGAGGGGATTTTTAGATGCTTATTAAAATCGGATGCATTCCTGCTGTGTTCATCAGTGTCTTTTTGCATAGTTTTGTCTGTCCATTTGTGTAAAGATTCATTCACACAGTAGCTCCTTCAAACAAGAGGAACTAGCTTTGCTGATTGTGCCATCTCTAATAGTGAAACTCTCTGTGCTGACCATTTACTGCTGTCTGGAGCCTTTMGTCTGCGATGCCCCAATCCAAGTCTCGTCAGCCCCAGTCTTGTTCACATCCTTACTCCCTTCTCCACATCTCCTTTGGAACTTTCCTCATGTAATCCTGCATTAGGAGAGGGGAATGACTGGCTAGCAATGTAAATAGAAATGTTTGAGAAGTTACTAGTAGGATACTGAGGTATTTTCAGGATTTTGCCCTTGTTATTGTAGGCCAGGATGGAATGTGTGTGTATGTCTGCAGGATATGGATTTCCTTTTTATTAAGGAATAGTTTTCACATTCATACACTTGATCAAACAGCATAGAATGATATAAACCAGCAGCATATCTGTGCCTAAGTAACAGTAGCTAGAGAAAATGCTGCATTTACTGCCTTAAGGAGAAGACAGCCATGTATCACTGATAGATGATATTGCTGAGAGCAAGTTGGTGCCTGTGATTTGATATTTGTTCTTTTTGAAGTGTGCAGTGAACGTACATCAGTGTTTGCTAAATTAGGTTTTGTTTCTACTGAGAAGCCAGAAGGGCCTSAACTTACATTTTAGGAAGTACTTATAAATTCTGCTGCCCCTCTCCAAAGTGTAGCATCTTCGATCTTCCACAGGGTAAGGCAGAAATGTTTAAAAGCTTCCCTGATAAAAACCAGCTTGGTAATATTAAGGAATAGGAAGCAGCTGGAAGAGGTGCTTGTGCCCCACAGGAGGTTTCCCTGCAAAGTCCTAAGTCCTCCCAATTAGTTTGTTTTATTTTAATGATTTTTCTTTTTTTCCCCTTCCCTCTCCTTCCCAGTTGGTAATCTTTTTGGAGATGGGTTGCCTGTCCATTGGATAGTGCCAAACATGATTTGGTTTTTTGTCCTTGTCTCAAACATTAAGTGCTACAGCAATAAAATTACACTGATGCTTTCATTAAAAAGACGCATCCTCATCATAAACCACTTTCCAGAATTGAAAATAACGAGCTGCTTTGACAGTGCACTCSATATAGTGGCCTTTTCAGACTACCATCTCCATCACAAAAAAAGGATCTGATTGTTAATCCGATCCATTGTGGAAGCTGCTGCRTTCCTGTCACTTGGGCAAGGTGTATGGAGTTTCCTAATGTAAAACTCCTGGGTTGGAGGGAACACTTTGGAGGCTTTCTAAGAACWTTGTCCCATGTCAGATACAAATTACTCTGGAACTTCTCTGCACCGACTGTCATGTTGYCCACTTAGACCTTTGCCATTTGTCATGCCTTTGGGCTGAAGGGATGAAGCAAATGAGTTTTGCAAGTCTTGGGAGGAGAAATGCAGTGTTTTCTTCCTGTGTACATCAGGCTCCAGGTAGGGGTTTTGGCAGTCTAGCTGGAGCTGAGCTAACTCAAACCTGAAACCAAGTGGGAGAACTTACATAAATTCTCTTGGGCATCCTGGGTCTTTTTTTCATGCCTGCTGACTGTTTTCATCAGTGTCCAATATAAACCGAGTTCCCTACTATCACAGCTGATGAGGAATATATTGCTTTCCAGATTGTCAGCTTTTGGAAAACTAATTTTTGTCTGCAATAAGCAATTTTTTGTTGGCTGTGTTCAAAGCACATCTTGGTCAGAATCATGAACATGCAATTATTTCAGTAGATTGATTTGATATGTTATAGAACTGTGTCCTGTTTTTCTATTACGTGTTTGTTTTTCTTCGGCTAGTATCCATTTAAGATGATGTACATTTTTCTGGCCTTTGTTCCTTGCTTTAATCGCTTATTATGCAAGGACAGCATAGATTTTTTTTTTTTACTGCCTCATATCTTGTTGCCTTTCATATGACCTTGGAAGGATTTGGAACAYGGTGTCTCTGACCTTAGACACTTTCTGAACTTCATGCAGCATCAGTGGCTTCTGTAGCATTGGGAGATACAGCCTCTTTAATTTCCTGATTTCTATAAATTGTTCTCATGACATTTAYTCATGATTAAAATAAAAAATGTGTGGTAGAGGCAGATTACACATGCCTACRTTGCCTACTGAATGGCAGTCTGGGTGAAGAAAAGAAGATGAGATTGAATTTAAGAGAACTGAAGCTCATGGGTCTTTGGCAACCTCCAAGTTATTGAACCAGAGTAGACCTAATTTCCCTGCTCTGTGCTATGGTAATAATCCCATTCCTGTGCAGTTTCCTGGCACCAGGCTGAGGCATGCTTTCAGTGAACTCTGCAAATAAATGGACCTAAATGGAGGAGAGAGGGAGGCTTCTCTCTTGTGTATTATGTATCAACAAAATGCACTGAGAGAGGCAGATGCCAGGTGCTACAGAAATGTGAAGTACTGTTGTCTGCCTGTGTCCACATGAATTATGTGCCTAGCTCAGCTTCCTTCCCTTTGGATTCTGGGTCTGTGCAAACTCTCATTGATGTAATAAGCGTGATACAAGAAGATTTTTCTGGGTAGTAAATATGATTGACCGTTTTAGACTTATAAAGGTGTGAGCTTCATCCTGCAGAGAGAGGTTCCACTAAGCACCGAAGTAGGTCAATCTAATTATAATTGGCTTTAATGAGCGCTACTCGGCAGTTCTTTACCTGTAGCTGTTTGGCACTCAGAAGTACAAATGCCGTTGCTGCCTTTCAAAGAGGCAACCAGAAATCAAAAGAAGTAATTTCTAGTCTGATCCATTTCAACTTGAAAGCCTCAGTTATCTGCATAAACAGGGTAAACAAGCCAGCATCAATAAGAGAAGTGAGCGCGATTGCAGGCAGCAATGATCACCATCAAATACCTGCCATAGGAAAAATTCTGCTCCTGGCTGCACGACAATTCCCTTGCAAGCTGTTGGAATGCAGATTTGGTGCGAGTAGTGGAAGGTACTGCAGGCTGAAATTGCTCCAAGTTAAATGGTGGGAAGGTAGAATGGAGGGAGGGCAAAACTCCCGTCTTTAGACCTCACGTTTCCTCTGTTCTCCAAGACCAGGAAATAAAATTCAGTAGAAAGRATCCTGCATGATCTGTTTTGATGATAAGGATATTGTAACTTATAACCTGCACTCTCTTGACTTGCATTTTTGTCTTTATTTTTTTTGCCAGCCCAGAACTGCAGTCACATTTTACAGGGCCCAAATGGGACGATACAGAGCCCAGGCTTTCCATATGGATATCCAAATTATGCAAACTGCACGTGGACAATCACTGCTGAAGAGCAGAACAGGATACAGCTTGTTTTCCAGTCGTTCGCGTTAGAGGAAGATTTTGATGTATTATCCATCTACGACGGCCTGCCTCAGCAGGGGAATCTGAGAACAAGGTACRGCACTAATAACAATATTTAACTGTGCTTGAGTTTCTGCTACCGCGATGACTGTCTTGCAGTTTTGTGCTGTAGTAAGCTAGGAGTGCTTCATGAATAGTTCTCGTAGCTGTTTTGATTTTGTATGTTTGGTAAGATGTGAAATGTTTCTCTGAGTGTCTGACAAGAGTGATTTATCACAAGTCATTCCAGACGTTTGGACGAGTTGATTAGAAAATGGTGCATGAGGAAAGGGGAGCTGATGTGCAGAGGAGCTTCCCTCAATCCAAAAGAAATTCTCTGAGAGGGGGAGAAGATGGCTAAAGCAATGTATGTGTATGCAGGAAACCTGCGTTGCACTTCGTAGCTCTGCTAAATACTTCATGGGTGCCTTTAGGGAATTGTCTAATTGGTCATCAGCCCACCAGTTGGACAGGGAGAGTACTCTTCCATCTCCGGGGGTGAGGAGATATGAAGGAATAAATGTCAATGTGAAGCCTCTGCATGGATGTTGATCTCAGAAGCTTTTTAGTACTGTCTTAATATTAGTAATAAATGAAATGGGCTAATTATGAAAAGTAATGTATTGCTACTAGAGCAACTGTTACCTTTTTATGTTTGACTCCTGCCTGCGTTTGAAGGAGTCAATCTCATGCATCTGCTTGAGGTGGTGATAAAATCAGCACCCTGATGAGCAACCTGATGAGTTGTGACATGACTGCAGTTTCCTGGGGGTCATAAATTACAGCTGATGTCTAATGTATTTGTAACGTATTCCAAAAATGARGTAAAAAAAGTAAGTTGCAGAAAGTAAGTAAGGCCTTTAGAACATGAAGCTGCTCTGTGCTGGTTGGTGTCTCACCTCTTTGTTCAGGTAACTTTTTTYTTACATCAATCTTGCCTCATTAAACTCTGTAGCTGTTACTCAGCATTGGCCTTTCTTCTTTTCTCTTTCCTTTGGCTATCAATTTGATGTTTTTTTTCTCAGACTGCTTTCCAAATGCACTCCATTCATCATGAGGTGCAGCACCCGAAGATGGATGACCATGCGTCATTCATCAAGACTCCTKCTACCATGAGGCAGGCCGCAGTGAGCTGCGAGCGGAGCCAAGGGAGGCAGGAAAACCCGCTGCTTTGGTGAGAAGGAAGCTGTCTTGTTATGTGTAATTAAGGCCCATCAACAAGGCAGTTAAGAAGAAGACAGGAGCCATATCTCTCTCCTTCTCCYACTGTGTTTGCTCCTCCTTCCCCCTGCCCTCCAGCTCTTTGCTGTTGCACCTATTTTAGTAAGCAGGAGGTCTTTTTAAATAAAAGAAATCAGAGTTTTTGATGCAGTGAACTGGGTTCTTCAGGTGGTAGCAAATGAAAGCATGAATAAGCTGAGGGAATTGGGCAACTGTGCAGTTGGAAAGCAGCTTTATGGAGAAGGAGCTGGGAGTTCTGGTAGGCACGGTGAACACGAACCAGCAGTGTTGCCTCTTCCTTGACTGAGAACAGAGTAATCCTGGTGTAATGAGTTGGTTATTACCTGTTGGTGAAGCTCCCCTGTGTCAAGGGATGGAGAATGGTTAGATTGCTCCAAACTCTGCTGCTCTTTTGAAGCCAGACATTGCTGAGAGCTCCTGTAGTTTGAGTTTGAGTCTGTGCCTTTCTGAGAAGGGGTTAATAGTTCTGTTCTTCCTGTGTTGGCAAACACCCTATTGTGTTGCCTTTTAATGTGGTGTGAAAGTTCCCTAATAGAATAAGACCGAACTTAATCCAATGAGACATTTGCTAATAAACTGCTTGACTGTATATTAGGGAATTTGCATTGTGTGTTTGTGATGAGTATGTGAATATTAAATGCTTTTCAGTGTCTTAATTTAGCTATCCAGGACTGTTGTCATCTTTTGGTGCCAGGACTTTGCCTTGTTTGCTGAAATCAGAGTTGGTTTCYGAGTCTGCACTCGAGCTTCTCAGATAACTGCACCTTCTGCTGCTGCTGTACACTGGCTTTCGGCAGAGACCGTTACAGCAGAATCCTCTTTGGATGCAGATGCAGGGATGACTTGTAGATTTTTTACCTTAAGTAGGAGAGCTGTGTCTCTTCAACAGCTTGGATGAGATTTATAGCTACCTCCAGTGTCTGCATGTGGCTTCCCTTCCCTTGAGCTGTGTAAAACAGAGCAAACTCCCCCAGAAGTCCAGCCTTCGAGTTCCTAAACGTTCCGAGCTGCCAGTGGGATCAGAGGGCCATGTGTGGAGCCTGGAAGCTGCAGCTGCTCAGGAACACCCTTCCCGTGTGTTCCCTTGTGCCTCGCTGAGTGTCCATGGTAAGAGGCTGCTCTGGTCAGCTTATTATCCAGAATTATTATTATCCAGGTCTGTTATCCAGAACTAGATAGTGGCTCACACCACCTCGTGTGAACTGTGCTGGAAGCCGTGGCTTTTTTGCTTGGGCAATGCAAAGCCACCCAGACCCATGTACTCRGAATCTGAAGCATTTGCATCTCATTAAACCAGAAAGATAACTCGCCAAAAGGTGGCCTAAAGAAAGCTGCAGTGTGTGTATGCAGTTTATTTTTAGTAAGCTCTTTGGATAAACACCCCTTGGATAAAGCTCATCCTGAAGAGTTTAAGCCATATGTTGTTATCCCTACTACAGTAGTACACTGAGGTCCCACTGGGAATAGAGTTGCACAGTGCTCTGTTCTGACACTCCGGATTTATGCTTGGATTAGGACTAGTCAGTTTAGAAAATGGAGTGAGTTTGTTTATTCTTGCTTCTCAGACACTTAGGGGTGGCCGTTCTGAAGGGTGACAGAAGAGTTTTCAGAGCAATACTGCCATTGCAGTGCTGCGTGTTCAAACTACGCAGGCTCTCTGCTGTATTTACTTGACTGAAAAGTTAAATATTTTGCTTGATTTTAATACTGTGTGATACTACTGATAACGAGGTGAATTATCCCATGGGGTGACCTACTAACTCCTAGTAGAAATATTAGCTAGAGAGATACTGTGTCGTCTTTATTCCTTGTTGATAACCAACTGATTACGGTTTAAAAAAAAAAAAAAATTGGGGGGACTAGTATAGAGCTTCATAGTGGAGGGGAGAAGTAGAGGAGAAATCCACCCCCATGCAAGGTGCCCTTGCTTGCCAAGGCACAAAGCTGACATCAGGTCAGGCAGGATGCAGGCTGAGCAAATTCACTCCCTAATAAACAGCACCAGTTTATCTGTTCTCTCTGGTCAATTGAAAATATCTCTGCTCGTGTCGCTTACGTTTCTCRTGCAGATCATGCATGCAAAGCTCGATGTTCTTGGTTTGCAGATGAGGAAATCGAAATAGAGGCCAAATGCATGGGGTTGGTTGGGATTTGTAATAATGTGATCACAGGGCAGGCGTGTGGATTCCTGCAGTTTAACAGGGCTTGTGCTGTGTTGACACTGGAAGGATGGTTATTGGATTTGCTGGAATTGGTTCTGTGCTGTGTTGGCTTCCAGAAATTCTTGGGGGAATAGCATTTGTCAGCTGATGCGAGGCAGAGCTCTGCTCGTTAGGATTTTCTGTTGAGTCACCTTTAGTCACATACTACAGTCCTTTGTAGTTAGCTCAGGTGTCCAAGGTGACTSCGGTTCTCTTTACTACGGGTAAGGATAAATGAATAAAACCAAGCAGTGGGCCAGCTAAAGCCTCCTGTCATCCTTAGTCAGCTTCAGAATCCTCCCTCCTTTGCCCTTTAGCAGAGTCTTTTGTCACTTTGCATTAACTCCCTGGAAATAAAATAAGCATATATTCAGGCGCTCTGCTGTTTAGAATAAAGTATGTGCAATTTTATTTCTGAGAGGATACTCATTTCAGCAGCTCCAGCAGCATTAAGGACCCTTTGCCAGTTGTCCTGTCATAATGTTCTGGGGAAGTGCTGAATATTTAAACTTTGCCTGTGAGATAATTGATGGAAGCAGATCTGAGTGTCTGTAAGAGCTAATGGGGTTAATGCAGCTGCAGCCAGGGCTGTTCCATTTTGACAGGCTGTGTTCAGTTTTTCCTTACTAGGACAGTGCTTATCAGGATGAGGGATCTAAACTAATAATTGGGGTGGGAGGGGTTTTCTCTGCCACTGTGCTGAATACAACAGGTTCAGGATAAGCCTTGAGGCTCATTTGGCCTGTCTTCAGCCTCTTAAACAGATGGAGAAATAGGGTGGTTGAGCAGCTTGGTTTAATAGTGAAAGGAGCTGCTCTCCCGTGGCATTGCTTGGATTGTATAAGAAAAGTTAYCTGTGGTAGCACCTTCCGTTGTGCTGTAGCCTGTACAATCCTGATATAACAGGGTCTTACTGAAAACTGGAGTCTTTTATTCATGCCACTAAGTAAATATTAATTGGGGAGGTGATTTCCTTTCTGGTGTTTTGTCAGCCKTTTGTCTATGAGACTGGAATTTCTTCCAGGTAGGACTATTCCCTGCTGTGTGTTTAGTGCTGGGGACTGGCTGCTRTTATTGGACCTTGAGGCATTGCTGGTGTACAAACAATAATCCGCTTTCAGAATTACTTTTGTGCTCTATTTTCACTCTAAATTGTCAAATAACCATGTTAATGGGTAGAATCTAATGGTAAACTTTGACAGTGGCTCTTGCTTTATATTGAAGTATACTGTGTATAGAAAGGCTTTCTATAATTAGGCAGTATCCAATAGATTTAATTAAGACTGAACTAGAATGKTTTTTTTGATAGGTCTATGAGCAGTGAATGCCATTAGCAATTRAGGTAATTTTGAAGGTAGGTTTTAAAATGTGTAAATTTTGGATGGCGAGATGATGGCCTTAATCTTGCAGAAACTGAACTACTCCCCAGGAGTTTTTGTAGGATTTCTCATTTTCTAGGTTGCCAAATCCATTGAGAAGATGCAGTCGTGTTCCCTAGAGGAGGGGAGGGAACTGCCTTAGTTACCCAGGGAGTTACTAGCTGTGAGCTGCCCAGTTCCRGTGTTCCTGGACTTGCCTCATGAAAAGAAGCTTTGACTTCATTAGTACAGAG